GGAGGGACTCCAGAAGGAGCATGCACCAATCCAATCACAACTGACGGAGATTTGAAAGATATAAAAACCCTTACATATTTGTGCAGCATCATTGATGAACAGGGTGGATCTGATGCAGATGTGAAAGCGCGGATCGGTAAAGCAAGAGCGGTATATTTACAACTGAAGAACATCTGGAACTCAAAACAACTGTCAACCAACACCAAGGTCAGGATTTTCAATACAAATATCAAAACAGTTCTACTGTATGGGGCGGAATCCTGGAGAAATACGGAAGCCATCATCCAGAAGATGCAGGTGTTTATTAACAATTGTCTGTGCAAAATACTTCGGATCCGTTGACCAGACACTATCAGCAACAACTAGCCGTGGGAGAGAACAAACCAGATTCCAGTGGAGGAAGAGATCAGGAAGAAGCACTAGAAGTGGATGGGACACACATTGAAGAAAGCACTTAACTGCGTCACAAACCAAGCTCTCACATGGAATTCTGAAGGCCAAAGGAAAAGAGGAAGACCAAAGAACACATTACGCAGGGAAATGGAGATAGACATGAGAAAAATGAACAAGAATTGAATAGAACTATAAAAGAAGGCCTAGGACAGAGCGGGTTGTATAATGGTGGTCGGCGGATTATGCTCCATTGGGTAGTAACAGGCGTAGATTAATAAGTAAGTAAGTAAGTAGAACAAGTTGTGCATTACAATAAATAATCTACTATCGTTTTTATTTTTGGCTTCATAACTGATAAAATACGGTACGATTAGTGAGATTATTTCATGTATAGAATAAGTATTTGTAGTTTAAATACCATTTTTCATCAGTCAAGGAAACGATAAACAAGAATTATGGTAGTAACATTGAGGCCTAACACATAACAAACTATTTTAATCTACAAAAATTTAATTTTCTTTCTTTCTACTTAATAACAAAACAAAAGCTGAATAGTTTTTAATTAGTTAATGTAAACATATGGACAGGTGGTTTACATAGTAAAGCATAATATGTATTTAAGAATAAATTGTATTAAACGATAGATTGGTTATTTATTAATCTCCTCCACTATTACTTATACTGTGATTAGATTGTATTAAAGTATTTAAAGCTATGTGATGTAAAACAAGTTCTAGTTTCATTATACTATTAAACGTAAAGTTAGATTAGATGAAATAGAAAATATAGAAGGATAAATATCATATTAACAGAGTTTTTCACATGGAGATGACCTAATTTCATGAGTAAAAACAATAGAAATAATAAAGATTTTTTACTATTCTAATGATAACTACACAAAAAGCAGGACCGTTAAAGGTTAATATGATAAAATAGTTTTTACTTTAATAGATATACAACAAAAACAAAAACAAAAAAATTGAAAATAATATTGAAAATAGCCATACCAAATTATGTAGAAGAATACGTTGTCCGAGTGTGACACAATATAATTTATTATTGTATACTGGACTATTCTCTTCAATTGTTTTTGTTATCTCCTTTTTAAGTAAAACATTGCTGGAGTTTATGAAGTAATGAAATCTATTTTACTGCTTAAAAAAAATTGCTTTTTCTATCTAAATGAACCAGTGACCTGTTAATAACAGATCTCTTTTCTTTTTCTTTTATTAAATGGTTAAATTAGGCGTTTACACTTGATCAGTTAAATGGTTCAGCTTACTGGTTCGAGTAATAGAATAGAATAATTAATGCGTATAAATATATTCTAATAAAAAATTCTATCCTTTCATAATTGATAAGAATATCATACATGAGCTTGTTTATATAACTAAGAGATCGTGACAGGAAGTAAATAATCGACAGTGAAACGGTTTCATTAGAAGGAGAAAAATTATTATCAAATAAAGTTAAGACTGTTCGAATTTATTTAAACATACATAGATTGATATGAATATGTATAGAGGGTGAAATTTATAAGAGTATAGTGGCACAACGTCTGAAAATCGTTGTTGTTTTTGTTGTTGTTGTTGTTGAATGATGAAATCAACATCCAAATAGAAATAATCTAATTAAATCAAAATATAACTCATAGTGATAGAAGACAAATCAGTCAAAGCAGTATAAGCAAAGTATACCTAACAACTGAAACTAAACTTTCATTTTCCATTCAGCTATTTCACTTTAACTAAAATATTGTTAGACTTCATATTTATGGAAATATAATAGTATTATCACGGTATGGAAATTATATATATATATATATATATATATATATATATATATAACAGGTTTTCTTTGTGTCATTCTGTTAAAATGGTTATGCTAGAACCAAATCAACTAAATTCAGTTGTTACGCTATGTAGAAAATTCTTTCTGTGGTATAACGGTTGACTAATTTATTGTACGGTCTGGTAAGCAATTCTCAAGTTATACTTACAATTAAACATAGAAATACATGATTTATTCTATTGAAAAAAACCCCACTTCTTTACAGTGAATTATAAAAAGTCAAAAATCCATTATATTTTTGTTATTAACTATATTTACGAATTGTTTAACAATCGATATTGTGATGAGTCCAAGGATTGTAATCACAATCAGGTACCTCACGTTATATACGTATAATTAAGTGACAATAAAAAACTGATCAAATTTATATTAGTCATGATCTAACTTATTATTTGTTATCTGTTGATTCTTTTAAAATATACCGTTAGAGTAATGAACCAAACTATTCGAAAAGAAAAGATCTGTTGCTATGGTGATAACGAAAAACGTTGAAATATGAAAACTTTCTAAATCAAAAATTAATTGTTAATATTTAGAGAACCATCTTTTATAGCTGGAATCGACTACATGCATAAAAGATGAAACTTCTTATTGACCTTTCCTGTCATTTACTGAAATATAGATTTGATTTCCTAACAAAAGAATCTTTCTAAATAAAATTAAATTGATAATTCAATACTCTACAAGTGATAATTAATTTATTCATATATAAATATAAGAATAAACTTTACATTTAATAGGATGGTGTTATATCTTGACGATTATTATGAATGGTAACTTTTGAGAACTATGTGTGGACCAATACGACATTTATATTTTTTATTGTATAGTTGTCATGTAACTAAACTATGCATATTCACCTCCCTTTTATTATAAGCTTTATTTTGACTCATAGACAATCATTATACGATTCTTGAGTTATACCCAGTCTATTAATTACAATCTCCTACATTCACAGCCACTTTCGGTTGGATCTTATACACACGTTATTATTTGTTTTGTGGTGTGATGTAGTCTGTTTGGTTTGTATACAAACCTAGTATGTTTGTAATACATGATTGATATAGCGGAGGCTGAGATTGGTGTTCTGGACTCAACAGGCAGGGTTAGACAGGAGGAAGGACAGAAAAATACTTTTGACTGAGTCAACGGTTCAGTCGATAATTCACTCTTCTCTAATTGACGGTATCGTTACGTCATATATTGGTAGGGACACAAGGCCACAAGTTATAACAATTAGATTTTTTTGTAATCCAGATAAACAATGGAAAGTAATGTTGATAAATATATTTTACAGATCTATATGATTTTATCTATAATCAGGAAGAAACCTTCTTACATATTAAACTGTAAAAATGTTCCTTGATCACCTATGTCCGAATCTATTATGATATAAAAGAATAAATCGTTCGAAAAAGAAAAATATCAATGTAAAAATGATTTCAGTATTTAATAAATAATTCATCAGTTATTCTCTTAGTCAAGCATATTAGAAAACACATTCAAACACACACAAAGAGAAAACTGATTTATGCTTGTTGTAAACTCATGTTACGTGTCATCAAAAGTCTTAAGTATAATGATTATTATTATTATTATTATCATTGAATTAATGGCCTGTTTTTTGTATTCTTATTATCAGTTAATGAAGTGTCAACAAACTATTATTCTCATGGTTACTCTACTTACAGTTCTAAAATATGATTATTATTATTATTATATATGAAGCATATTATGTTCGTAAAATAAATGAACAACAAGTGAATGGAACAATACTTCAACTACATACGCATTGGTGCTTGAATAAAACTTAACTAGTCACAATGATGTTCGTTGAAAACATTATTTCTAATTGAAACGATATAATGAATTTGTAGATTAATGACCACAAACAGTAACATCTTTGTATGAATATATATATCGACAAAGCATGTGGTAACAGAAAGTTAAGAAATCTAATTAGAAACAACTGTTTATAACAAATAACTATATCAATTAATTCACTTTGAATTCAATTATAAAAAACACATTTCTAATGTATTTCTTTTTTACTAACCTAAGGTAGTTCTCAGTTATCTACTATTTTATTATAAGCAGAGATGGATGATTACTAGAATTGGTATCCAGGACACATGTTTCGTTCTATTTAGGACTCATCAACTGGATGTATCTGCACAACATCTAAATATAATTGGTTAACTCATGAAATATTGTACTACATTCTAAAATATGAAACTGTTGCCAATCAAATCCATTAACAAACAACTATATGAGAAAAGTTAAATAGTTCTTCATTCTTAATAAAGCTGGTACAAGTCATGCCCTAAATAAACAATCGAAAAGAAATTTATTTCGTTAATTATAAGCCAATAAAATAATTCATTAATTATTATTATTTTTCTTCAGCTGAATAATAAACAGTTGATGGTACCGTTCAATTATCTGTCTTTAATTGGCTTAAAGATGATTGTACCCTCCTTTTTTCTGTAAACTGTAAATAGATACTTCAATTTAAGAATGTGACTTAATAGTGTAGTTAACATTTTCACATATACTGAACACATGTTTATCTCAATAAACAATTATACTGTAATGAATCTAAATTACCTGTCATTCATGATAAACGAAAACGTTTATGTTGCTTACAAAGCTTATTAAAAGTAACAATATTGTTAGCAATACATATCTAGTTATTGATGATAATGTCAGTTACATATTTAATTTATTTGTATCGATTTTGTTTAATTTTGATTTAGGGGAATGCAATAAAAACATTTCGACTTGATAGAAATAATGGAACTTTATGGTTACGTACCCCATTGGATCGGGAAAAATTAGATAGTTATACTTTTAAGGTAAGTAATTTAGTTAACATATGAATAACTATTCATCTTATAAACTTTAAGTCAAATATTATACACATTAGTTGTAATAGGATTGAGTTGATTACTTTAATTCTGATGAGTTGTATTTTCTTTCTGAATGAAAACTCATCGATTTGTGTTAAATTTCACCATGATCTTTTGACAAGGATCTTGTAAAATTATTAACAAATAATTATCAAGAACCAAAGTTCATGTGTTTTTTTTTGATGAAAACACACTAGAGAAATATAAAAATATTCTTAATTATTTTACAGCTAATTGATTAGGCTCAATTAAAGGAAATACATTAGAATTTCAAATTACTCGTTTCACATTCACAGACAACGACTTGATGTGACATCTAGAATTCAAGGAAACCTACTTATGATTTACAAATTTAAAGTGACTAAAAGAAGTCTTAACAAGACTTAAATTTATATACCGATGTTATTTTAAAACATTAAGATATCAGTGTGTGATGTAAATGTCACTCATCGAGTGCTTCGTGATATAATACAGAGTGAAGAAATCCTGGTATCTAATATTTAACTAGAATTCCAATCTACCAAGGACATGTATGACGAAATAAACCGACTTAAGCTTGCTGAACAAGTATCGAGCGCTGTCTATGATTTTGAGGATAAACTTATTATATTACTGTTTGGTATTTGTTGCCTTAATATATTCCGACCCTGGGTTACATAGTATACATGACAGTTTAAAGGAATATGGGAATAAAAATTACTAAAAGACATTTTTTTCAATGAAAGTATAACACGATTGAACTTTAATAATTTTTTTCTGTCACTTTGTAACCAGATAAAATGATTTTGTTTATCTTTTATATAAGTGTCTTAGGTCTAAAAATACGTCTATCTAATGAAATACAATTTATAAACCGTCCCAATGTCAGAAAAAGTGTAACTGAATCGGATTTAATGGTAAACTTCTATTCAGTTTAAAACAAGGCAAACATCAGCGCAACTTAGTCTTTAACAAACATTTAAACATAAATCTCTCTTTTCTAGACGATTGCTCTAGAAAGTGAAAATCATCTTTCCAAGTTTACAATTAAACATTAAACCATATGTTCGGTCGATAGGTTAGAAAATTGATGCTAACTCTATTCTACTTGTTGAGTCAAAGTTTTCTAAAGGCGAATTCAGTCGGTATTTTGATTACGATATTCACAATTGGAACAGAATTTACCACAGTTCGAGTTGTTTTGGGCCCGTTTTTGTTAAATATTACGGAGGAAGTATGATTTTGGATACATCTGCCTATAATGTAAACTTAACAATTATCATATCTGAATCCGATGAAAATTAAATTTCCATTGTTTGATTTCTCTGAATCCTATCTTTAAATGTTCTAGAGAACAAAATCAAGAAATATTTGCTACCGGTAATAGGATATTCATATGATTACTAACCTCGAATTAACAAAACATTTTAATTTTTTTACCCATGAACTTGTTGATAATAATCGGGCATTATAAGAAAGCTGGATATTTTGAGTTAGAATCAGTCAAATATGTACACTGTGTTATGGTGCGGTAACTTGATACACTCTTAAACATTATGTGAAGTAGTTTGTCATGAATTAAAGTCAACAGTCTCCACAAAGAAATCAGTTATTCAGCTAAAATAAATTGAAACCAACTATTTTTATTTTACTATATAAGACGTTCGAGTAAATCAGGTGCAGTTAATATTTAATGAGTTACCTTAAACAGTTAACCAGTATGAAAAATTCAGTAATAAAATTAAAAAGTTTGAACACATAACTGTTTTGCTTCGTTGTTAATCATTTCAAAACATCGATAACAACATACCATTAATCCTAAATATAATAAGTGTGACCACATTATTGGCATTCAAAGTCAACTGTCTAGTCCTTAGACATTCTTTCAAAAGCCGACTAAATGGTTGCTTTGAAAAGGGAAAGAAACATGACAACACTAAACGACACGACAATTTTCGAGTAAGTTTCTACACAAGGTAACAAACAAAAATATAGATTATATATTTAAATAACATTGAAATCAAGGTCAAAATAAATTTTTCCAATTCACTTCACGATCTCAAAGTGTTTTTTACGCACTTTCAAATTAACACTTTGCTGTAAGTTTTAAACCGCCATTTCGTCCTGACCCCTCGACAGTGAGCGTCCAAAACCAAGCACGTGAAGGTCGAACCCGAAACCTTCGGTTTTGTGCGCAATCGCTTAACCACCAAACAACCGAGACGGCATCCAGCGGCGCTACTGACTAACTTCAACCAATCCATGATATTGCGCGAATATCTATTGTCTCTAGTGGGTACCTGTCTCACACTCGACACGGTCACCCATTATCGTGAACTAAGTTAAACATCAACACCACTTAATGCCAGTTCGGTGATCTAGAGTTTGGGCGTTTGCGAGCAAGTCTAATTATGATGGGTTTGATTATTGCATGTGGGATCGTTGACGCGCACTTCTGAGGTGTCTCATACCAGGAAAATGTGGCTATCTAGTGCTTCTAGATTCTCAATAGCTGTCTAATATTAATCAATGCGTGATTTCAATGAAACTCAACAATCTTCACAAATATATACTGATAATATTTCTCTGTTTCTATAGGTCTTGGCATATGATCATGGAACACCAAAACAAAGTTCTTCATGTCAAGTACACATCAAAGTTCAAGACGTCAATGATAATGCTCCGAAATTTGTCTATCCTACTCATAGTAATCATACAGTTTATGCTTCAGTATTTACTAACCCAGTAAGTTTATTTAATCGAATTATTACTTGTAGATGTCTCATATTTTACTATAGTAAAATATCTAAATAGTTATTGACACATTTTAAGTTTTCAAAGTCTGTCTAACAATCTGGTTGTATTTTGGATATCGCTTTTTTATTTCCGTTCATTGAATATATATATATATATATATATATATATATATATATATATATATATATATATTGGGGCCTACTGTTACAATGGCAGCTACTACATTAAACTGATCTTTATAGTTGCCGTTGCTATCATTAACAAATGCAAAGTACTGGATAACATTCATTGTGAATCCCTCCTTCTTTGATTTGAACGGTGCTTTGACGATCCTTGAGATCCATAGGACTCCTATCTTATGAGTGCATTTCATGCTTCTTTTGACAGCACTAGTGAAACATGTGTGTGTGAAGCATGTCCTTCTTTCTGATCGGGGTAAACGAGCATCTCTCCCGAAGCTTATCTTTTCTTTCTAGCTTGGTCTAATCGCTTTCACTTATTTCATGCATCACCAAGTTGTATCTTCTCATTTCCATTGCTATTTGACTGGTCCTCCCAGTCTCACACATCGTCCGCACATTCCATGCTCCTATATTAATTGTTGCTCTGATTATAAAAACGGCAACAGCCTCGTGATTTCTGAAGAATCTCGGCTTTCACTATGAGGCGAGATGATTCTTCCAAATAAAGATCCTTCAACTTACAAAATTGACTTCAAATAGTTTTTGTTTATTCTGGTTAGTGTTTTTTCAGCAAATTTGTTTTCTACAAGATGAATTTACTAATCTAATACCCAATCCTCTGCTGTCATCCGGGCTTTAGACCGGCTGTAACCCTAGACGGTTTACATGCAGAATCTGAATGATTATTCAGTCAAATAAAACATTTACAATCAGGTAAAACAAAATGAAATATGAAAATCTCATAGAATCAATGTTTATTCAATACTGTTGAGGTGTATATGTCATGAATTCTCAGAGAGAATAACTTCCAATGTTTCATATTTCCACAAATTTATCCTGTTGTAGTTAGTTAATTTTTTTTATTGAACAATTAACGTTCATTGTCCACATGTTGTAATTTATTCTTTAAACAAAATTTCATATACCCTTAAATTAAATACTTTCATCTTTTTAAGAAAAAACTATCTCCTATATACACCAGTGATCTATATGTATATAATTATAGATAATTAATGTCTCTTTTATGTTCTATTTATAATTATGTAGAATGAAAATTACTACTTTCTATTAGAATTCTTCAACAATCTTTTCATTACGTTACTTTCATTTTACTCATTCAATAATAAATTCATTTTTGAATTAGTGTTTATAACAATTAAATTGACGAAAGAAAAATACTGAATGCATCATTTAATATGATAGAAAAGAATAAAAGAAAAATTATGTGAAAAACAAGATTTAAAAAAACCCAGATCTATCACATACCCATCAATATTGTCTCTATGATAATAATAATAATAATAACTATTACTAATACTGTATATTTAATCATCAAACTGCCTAAGGCTCTTTTTTTAATTTTATTTAATACCTTTTCAAAGAAGGAATAAAATTAGAATTAAAATAGGTGAAATTCAAATTAAATGTCGAATTTAAGGAAATATCTTTGTTATTGTAATAATAATAATAATAATAATAATAATAATGACGATGATACATCAAAGACCGAACAACTAAACACACATGAATATACATGAAATACATGAAACGACTTCTTTATTTGAGAATAACTCACCCTTTAAAACGAACATAATGCAAATAAATAAGAAATTATAAACAATCATGTTCACAAAATAAAATCAAAAAGAAAAGCAAAGTTATTACCATTGATCTTATCAAAATCATAACAATACTTTTTCACTTATTTATTTATTATGATCATATCATCAACAGTCTTATTGTTGTTTATGCTGAAAGGGGTTAACAGATCTTTTTTTTTAGAAAAAAAAGTAGAGAAATTGAAAGAAAAGATCAGAGAAAGAAAATAGATCTTTGAACTAAAAAAAAATGAATCATTTGACTTTAATCAGTGATTTTCTGATTTTTCAATTTTCTTTTCTTTTTATGATTGCCTAAAGGGATTATAGATATTGCAAAAATTGTTCAATATTTTTTTGGTTTTATATTTTATTGATTTGCAATCAATTAACATTTTTCTTATTAAAACAAAAAAATGATAATTTTTCATTGATAGTTTAATTACTGAAAATTGTGACTTAAATGTTAATTGGTTAGATATTTACTTTCATAGGATACTTACTTACTTACGTTTGTTACTCCCATGGTGGAGCATGATCCGCCGACCAGCATTCTCCAACCCACTCTGTTCTGGGCCTTTTTTCATCATTTAATCAAATTCTTGTTCATTTTTCCTATGTCTATCTCCATTTTTCGGCGTATTATGTTCTTTGATCCTCCTCTTCTCCTTTGGCCTTCAGAATTCCATGTGAGAGCTTGTCTTGTGATGAAGTTGGGTGCTTTCCTCAATGTGTGTCCCATCCACTTCCAGCGCTTCTTCCTGGTTTCTTCCTCCACTGGGATCTGGTTTGTTTTCTCTCACGGTTGGTTGTTGCTGATAGTGTCTGGTCAACGGATCCGAAGTATTTTGCATAGACAACTGTTAATAAACACTTTTATCTTCTGGATGATGGCTTTCGTAGTTCTCCAGGTTTCCGCCCAATACAGTAGAATTGTTTCGACATTTGTATTGAAATCCCGACCCTGGTGTTGGTTGACAGTTGTTTTGAGTTCCAGGTGTTCTTCAGTTGTAAATATGCTGCGCTTGCTTTTTTTTTACCAATCTGCGCCTTCACATCTGCATCAGATCCATCATGTTCATAGGATACTTAAACTAATATTCACTTAAGTAATATAAAGTTAGACTGATAGTATATTACTTGCTTAAAAGTACATTAATGTTGAATTTAAATGTATTAGAGAAATAATTATTTATGTTCAGTCGTTCTTGTATAAAGTTATTGGAATGATTAGTTTAAAGATGTTTCATATTCTTTGAGTTAAACATTGATCAACTAAAATCTATATCTCATAGTTTGAGACATATGCTTAGTGTAGTTCAGATAAACACTCATGAAAAACAGTGAAATAATAACTATAAATTGTGAACAAAATTTTTGGCATGGATAATTTTTTTTTACATTACAAGATAATTTAGTTTCTAAGTAGGATTTTGTTCATCAGTTTGTTACGGAAATTGTCTCAAAATAATTGCGTAACACATTCAAGCATGCAGAGTGTAGATAAAACTGTTTTCACAGATTTAAATTACGATTTATTATGAAAATTTCCAATTTATAAATATTTCCTTACAGAAAATTTTTTTATACTTTTCTATAAAACATCTCAGGGAATTCCTCTAGTTAAATTAACAGCAACAGATTCAGATGAAGGTGTAAATTCACAGTTAACCTTTCATCTTCTTGATGAATCAAAGGAAAAAGATATTTTTACAGTGGATCCACATACTGGAGAACTAAGTCTGTTACCAACAGTGGATCCATTCATTATTGGAGGTCGCTATCAACTGAAGTTTGAGGTACAAATTTATAAATTATCAATTATTATATATCCATCGACAAAATATTATCTTTATTAGGAAAAATCATTATTTTTGACAATGTGAAATTTAGTGGTAGGAATAAAAAGGAACCAAGTTCACATTATTTGCTAACTTATTTATATTTGAGCAAGTGAATTTTATTCCATTCTTAAACAGAATGGAACACGTACAAGATTGTAGAGAATTAATTAGTGACAAACACTTTTTAAAGACTATATACAATTCGAAGATAAATATTCAGCAGAAAATAACATCAGCAGAAAGACCTATAAAAAAATAAACAGGTCTAAACAAGTGTTCAGTTTTTGTCTTAAGCTCTTCAATAATCCAGATAAAACAATCAACATTATAAAAACAAATCTAAACATTTTAGTTCAAGTAGTATGCACGAATACTCACTCTTTAAATTAATATTCACTAGTTAACAGTTCTAAATTTGCTAGAAGCATCATTTATAATGAAATTTATTTGATAGCATTATAAATAACTACCTCACCCTTAATGTGGCTAAACTTGATAGACTCTTTAAATAACATTGTTTACTTATAGGTACCCATACCAAGGTCGGATTTGATGGTTTCAAATAAATTGAGCATTGGGTAGAGAGTTAATAATAAATATATTTTTGTTCGCTTGTGCACCATAATTCCATGGATAAAACTGTATGTCTGATTGTCTGTCGATTTCATGGAGTTACACGTAGCTTTCAAGAATCAGATCCATTAACTGCTTTACAACCCCACTAAAATTTTGAACTTTTCTATGCAAACCATATATATTCGACTACAAAACATGGAATCTAGCTAGATATTTAGCTATATGTAAACATACACAATACCATTTGAGTTGCACCATCTGTGACTGACATCATCACTGAATGTCTCTGTTTCTCAGAATTTATATGTCTATTTTAAGATATTGATACTACACTAGGATTCAAAATTAAATCTAAATTAGAGTTTGTTCTGAATAAACCATCAAGCTAGGGATACATAACGACAACAAAACTTCACGCACCTATACAATTGTTCAATTAGAAGCTTTAATATCAGCAAATCAAACTTTCTCGAAATGATAAATATGCATGTTTATTTATTTATATTTACAATTTGCCATGACAATCATCCTTTATGTAATATGATATATTGAATGATTAAAGTTAACTTGTAACAAACAAAAATTCTATCGGTTATACTTTCTTGACTTTTTAACCTAAAAGAAATCGTATTTCTTCGGTTTTGAGATTTTACTCAAACTCCGAAAACTTTTTTATAAGACAACAGTTAACAGATAAGTTAAAAATTTCAGGACGAACTTTTACGTTAATCACCCAAGAGATCTAAACTGAAATTAAACAGCTTAAGAGTTCTTCATGGTTTCTAGTAATTCTTAACCTTGTATCAGTCTATCATTCAACTTTCCTTCAGCCTATAGTATTGTCAAGTTGACCATATTGAGTAGTAATACATATTAGGTGTAGATACTCATCTGTAATAACATTTTCTGAGATAATTTATTTTATCAAAATAATTCAGAAGTTTTGTCTTGCTAACTAGTAATACTGTATATTCAATCTGTTCCTAAAAAAGGTACGTGATAGTGGTACACCGAGTCTCTCAGGATATGCAAACATAAATATCATATTAGATAGTAACTCACCTCAGTTATTACCATTCAACAATGGCAAATACCAACTTACAAATATGGAATCGTTAAATTCAAGAAATAGTTACCGCTCACCGATTTTGAAAAATGATAATGAAGTAATTCATTCAGGAAACAAAGAATTCGATGGAATCGAGTCACGATATGACATCAGAGAATCACATATTTATGAACCAACTTATGCTCAGACTATCCTGCCTATTTCATCTAATTCAAATGAGAAATATCGTCGAAAAGAGAGAGTTTCTACAATGACAAATCAAAAACCCTCGACGCCATTCAGTTTAGAAAAAATTTGGATTTCTGTTATATGCCTCATTGCTATTTCAACATTAGTTGCATTTGCTTTCCTTGTCGCCATTACATTAGCTCGTCAAAAAGTAGCAACCTATGAGCTGCAACGGGGTCCAAATCATTTAACTGAAAATTTCAATTTGTGCCAAACAGAACAATGTGGTAGTCAATTTTCTGTAAATTCACATCGCTTCAGCAACATCGATAACACTTATTCACCCACGAAATTTCAAACATTGGAAAAACAAGATCATAAAATTCACAACAACAGCTGCAGTAATCATGATGCCAATCTTTATTCACCATTTGTCAAGTATGATACGAATACTAATTCAACCGCAGGATCTGTGCATCAACTAGGATTTTGTACAAAAGAAATGACCTCAATAAATACGGATATACAGGTGATAAATCATGACCATTTTAGGCTTAATAATTCCTAAATTCAGTTTTATATCTTATTTGCTTTATATGAAGGTTAGCTTTTGTATTCTGTTCGTATATCTATGAGTAAAGACAGGTTAATTAGCTGGTTTAAAACAATCACGCTACGTTCGAAAAACTTTTTATAAACCGTAGATTTCTTCAGATTTCTTTAGGTTCATACTGAATTTGAAAAAGAAATGTAGCTATATATATATATGACTGCACACTACATACCTTCAAAAGGAGCTTGTTTTCATGTAACACAGTCTAAAACTAACCAATCATTTGTTTCGAGTGGAACCATACTCAATATGGTTAGTGAATTTTGCCATATTATGATGTCACTTTCATTGAAAAGCTAGATTATACTCTGAATTTTGCCATGTTTTTAATTTTTATTCATTATGTCAAACCGCGTTACAGCAGAGACGTGCATTACATGCTGGAATGATAGCCTAAGTCGTGGTTGTTTTGAAGTGGACAGTGAGTGATGAACGTTAATGAATAAAGACTTGAGGATCGTTAAGTTCTTGTTTTTGTGCTGTACATACCATACCGAAAGCAGATTTCTGACTTTTCATTGCTTAACTTGCTTTACGAACAACGTAATGCATCCAGTTCATTTAATCACGTTATATGGTATATTTTTAATATCAAGCCTTCTGCAACAGTTCGACTGCATCTCTGAATTGGTCCGATATTGTCGGGTACCCGGTCTCATAATCCTTTCAAGTACATCAATGGTGTCCACTACAACTGGATATTCAGCATTAGTTCGACTCGTTGAAAGTAGAGGGTTATCCATAATACAAAATAGCATAACAGGCCGAAGATCGTTATCTTGACATCTACATAAACGAATATGCTGACAGTTCAAATGTCTCAAGTGGCAGCAACATTGATTTTAGCTAAGAGGCACTTACTCTGGCGTCTGATATCTACAAAAAAGTACTCAAAACAAAACTAATTATCATTTCATCACATAAAGCAAGTAAGCACACCAGAAGGAATACACTGACCTGAGTAGTAGTAGTAGTGATAGTAGCAACCGGGGAAACAAAATCGATTCAAAAAACTAGCGTCAGCACATAAATTGACGAATTTTCGCACACTAAATGAATAAATGTTGCAACAACATCCAAAAGTTAGCAAAAAAACACAGAATGAGGCAAGCCAACCGCTATCGCTGTCAGAGATGATGGAAACGACAGTTCCTGCTTCATTCTGGTTGATCGCTAAGTGTGATACCGAAATCACGAATCAGAGTTGAGTTCATTTCCAGTCTTTGTTTCTATTTCGTGAAAGAATGGTTAGCTGCTAACTTTCCTACCTTAAGAAAATTTTTAATATGCCATAATTTGTAGCCGACGGATAGTTTACAATCAAGGCTGTTCCAATTTTAAACTAAATTTCATATTTTTAAGTACTAAGAGTCTATTACATTAATGCTATTGGTTTGAATAACCATTATTTACATAATACTTTATGAATGTATCATGAAGGTTTTCCTTTATTGTTTGATATATTTTCAAGAAACGTTTGTTTATTTTTTATATATTGTTTAGCCAAATGTAATATGTTATAGTCTTTTTTTAAAGCACTCAAAACCTATATACAATTACAATATTCCAATAACTGCTAGTTCACTACAATTTCCAAGAAAATTTCAAGCAATACACAATAATAATAAAACTGAAAATCTTTCTTCAGACAAATGCATATCATTAGTGCATGTTCAACATTCAGCACCGGCTAGTCCAAATGATTACTTCAGTCAAAGATATAAAACAATTGATCCATATCAAATGAATAGAAATATGTTCAATCAAAAGTACGAAATTCTTCAACCACAAGAATGTACAATTGATGAGTATAATAATAAGATATCTATTAGTCCAAATTTTGCAAATGGTAAGACTAATTTGAGTAGAATATTATACTTGATGTATATGTGCATATAAATAAAATTTATAGGTAAACTCATTTTGATAATTTAATAATCTGTACTTTTCAAAATGGTACTGCATTTCAAATAGTATTCCACGAGTTATTTCTTTACAATCTTTTACGTTTCCTACCTATAAAACTTCCAGTAGTTTACATCCAAATACTTGTAACTGAATAAAGAAACTTAAATATAACTAAAACCCCAACTTTTAATGTAATATAAAATAAGAGCTTATTTTTATCTAACAGACAAGTGTCATATCAGCAAAGACTACAAGTTACAAGTCATTTATTTGAAGCCGAGGAAAGTTTTCCACAAAGCAACTCATAGCCTAAACATCACAATACGATTTATATTTTGAATAAATTTCTGTGGTTACCTAAACTACAAAGATGGTTACAATATTAAGTTACCGAACTAAGTGGGATTCAGCTAGGAAATTTTCCGAACACAATTAATTTAAGAAAATTCAAATTGGTTAACAATGGTTGTTTAAATAAACACAGCAAAACGCGACAAAAAACAAATTGAAACAATAAGATGAATGTCTCTTCATAATACCAGACCAACTTTGAATTGAGAAACGTCAGAAATTTAGATGTCTGCTCATTAAGATTATTATTATACTTGTATTTACCATTGTTTACATTTCTCCTGTGACTGACCATCATTTATTTTAAATGATCTAAACAGTCATGAAGTTCAACCGCAATTATTTGATCTTTCTAAATTTGTCAACTCGCAAATCATAAGTATGCTACTGTTTCGCTAATATAGACAATCGATCATGTGCTTAACTAACAATACATGGTTTTGAATGAATGCTATTGACTTTTGTTAAGATAGGGATACACAATAGTTATTGAAAAGAGAGTACAACAATAAAATTAATGTTCATTCAGTCAACAGAAATGATTTATGGCACCACAAGCATCTCACTATCTCATTATCTAACTCATCTTAAATTGCTTCTATCAAAAGAGATAACCGATACGGCCTTAGTGGTACAGTAAATGAATATTATATTTACACCTTGTAGATACACATGTAACCAATAAGACATATTCAGGCAAAACGTTATACCTAAAATACAAAATTCTTTTTATTTTTCTACATACTGAAAATGTAATCATACATAGAATAAAACGTTTTTACTTTATTCTCTATAATTTTCTTCCTAAATACATTTTAAGTATTCCATTTTAGGTTTAATGAAACTTAATAATATGGAATTATCAAATTCAAATGCGACAAAAAATTTCGGTCTAGATAATAAATCATTGTTATATCTCACACCAAAAGGTATACTGAAAGGATGTATTACAGAATTAAATGAAAATTCACACAGAACTAATGACAATAATAAGAATAATGAAGAATCCAATGATGTTGAAGTTGATATTGAGAAGAATACCAATGGTATCAATAATCATTCATTATATTGTTGTAATTTAGATAAACAACAACAAACCATTCAAATAAATGATTATATACATAAACAAAATGATACTACTCATAATATTGATATCAATGAACAGTTAACAATAAAATTAAATAAATCTATCCCAGATTCAATTAATAATAGATCAAATCAATTATCGGAAATTTTTCAAATCAAAATGATGAACATAATCAACAATTACCATTAATAAACAAATCTGATAGAGAACAAAATTTATTAAATATAAATACTAATATTCATCATCTAATCCAATTGTAACTTCTATATCTTCACATGTTTCCACTTTTATCTAAGATTTAATATTATTCTCTGTGTATGTTTATTTTACCTGTGAATACATATGCATATTAAACTTAACGCTTGCCATGTATATATATATATATATATATATATATATATATATATATATATATATATATATACAGTGTTTCTGTTTAGCAGAAAGAAAAAAAGTGATTACATAATTGAGATTAACTTTGTAAAATGTCAATCCATAATAAAAAAAAAGATACTGAGAAATATGTACTGAAATAAGGAGCTATTACATGATATAATTATACATTTTATTGTATGAATAAATTTTCTTTTAAATGTATGTATCAAATATAATAACCAATTGTATCATTGATTTCTGTTAAACATTGATTTTTTGTGTGTTTCTAAGGGATTGTACCTATAGTTTATTTATATTTTATAATGTAAAGTACAATGTTGAATAGTAAAATTAATTAATTAATAAAGATTAATGATAAGTTTCCAAAAAAATTCTTGTTTATAATAATACTCCTTTGATTATTAATGTTTGTACGTTTTATAAATTAGAATTTTTCCATAAGACAACACCAGTTCAAGTTATCGTTTAAAAAAAAGCCACTTTATATATATATATATATATATATATATATATATATATATATATATTCAGAAGGGGGGGTTAATATTTTAGTGATTTTATAGTTCATTTCATAAGTCAACTGAAGCTAGACCACTGTGCAGGACCTTGAAGCACTGAACGGCCGTTTCATCCAACACTGCGCACCCCACGATCCCGCCTTGCGAGACTCGAACCCATAACCTATCAGTCTTGCACGCGAATGCTGCTCAGTGTTCATGTCTAACTTCAACTATAAAATTGCTAAAATCTCCACAAAAACCCTTTCTGATGTTAATCAGCATATGCTCACTAGTGACTGGTTTCAAGAGGTATTTCCTCGAGTTCTAATGAGAAGCAGTGACCAATGGAGTCCAACTCATTGAAGACATTGGTGGATGTGTTGCTCAATTTCGTGGGTTATTTGAAGTTAAACACCAATGATTGCCGGCTCAGTGGACTAGATTTATTAATTCATAGAGATGAATCTTTATTCATATCTTTTTATTAGCAGAATGTTTAAACCAATTAGTCACTTTGATAAATTTCGATAGTGTAATAAGAAGATGAAGATTATCAGAACTATGTGATGTATTAACGCAATACATTTCGAACAGTCTAATCACACATATACTTGTTAAGAGCATTTATATATAAAAATAAAAGGTCAACCTGACTAGAAATGGAGGGTAAAAGGAGACAAAGGTAGTAAAGAAATAATATGAAAACAATTTAATAATAAGCTAACATTACCAAGGCAGGTTTGGGGTGAGAACAAGCTGTTATCTAATGCACAAAAAGGTTTGAATTGCCGTATTGCTAAGGCTTCAATAAACTTTAGTAAATGCCCTTTTACACATTTGTACAACACCACAAATGCTGAGTTAAGATCAATCTTATAACCTGTATCAATAGAGGATGATGAATATTTATCCTCTACTATTATTGAGTCATTCGATTCTATCTGTTTCTGAAACCATTTAGGTACATGTTCACATACCCTAGTTTTGAGATCCTGATTACTCCTCCCCATGTATGTGTGATCACACACACATTTAAATTGGTAAACACAGTGGGATGTGACGCAATCGTTTTCTTGTCTTTCAGGTTCCTTAATAATAAACTTTGCTGCACAATATGCAGAATAGTAGAATAGTGGGATATTGTCGTATATAGTAGAATATAGAAGGATATTGTTATTTATTTTCTGACTCGTGTGCAAGACTGATAGGTCCTGAATTCGAATTTTGCGAGGCGGGATCATGGATGCGCACTGCTGAGGAGTCCCACAGTAGGACAAAACGGCCGTCCAGTGCTTCCAGGTTTTTCATGGCGGTCTAGCTTCAATTGACTCATGATCTCAACTATTAAAATTAAAATTTTTTGTTTAAATCTGGTTAATTTTCAAACATAAATTGAACAATGTATATCTTCATAATACAATTCAATTGTCATTATGATTCTTGATCGATATATTATAGATTTTAGAAATGGTTATAAAATAAACACTTATCAAATGGTTATAAGTTGATTAACACTAATTGTAAACTGATTGTAACCTAGGGAAATAATTGTTGAGATAAAAGTAAAGCAATTCAATTAATGAATTTAAAATCTATTTCTCCTCTCTTTGATCAAATCATCTATAGTTGTAGGTTCTCTTAACAAGTTTAAATGAAATAATAGCAGCATAGCTTGTAAAATATAAGAAATGTGTATTTTTTTAATCCTTTCTAAAATACAGAAAATTTTAGTTCAAATCATTAACATTACCTTAGAAATCAAGAAATTAATTGTTTATTACATAACACTTAATTATTTAGCGAATAAATTCGTAATAAGTGAATAATGCGCTGGCGTCTGAAGCGAACGATACTGAGTTCGAGTCCCAGAGTGAACATCAACTCTGAGATCCAGGTACATTCAACTGGCTAGTCTTAAATAAGGCGAAACGCACGTCCAGGATTCCACTGCTATCCACTATCCATCTTTACATAAAATGTTTGTGAACTGAGGCAATAATCAAGGCAATATACACACTGTGCACATATGCCAATAAGAGACTGATCAATTGCAGTCCTAAACATCAATGGGAAAATTCAAACAAACAATACTAAGTGCATTTAATTTGTAATAACGTTTAAGTTAACTTGTTTAATGGTATTTTATATGAATAATTTGAGCGATAATTCTATAACACTACAAACGACAATAAAATTCACAATATGATGGTTACAAAATATAAAAAAATAAGGTTAAGAAAACATTATTGCACTGTTGTTGTATTCAAAGAATTAAATTTACGAACAATTCCAAGATAGTCAATTAATTACTCTATTTCTAAATGTAAAGATCACGTTTCTATCAACTAATTCTTATGGTTTTCACAATTTTTAATAAGAGTGAATTAGACTATATATTTTGATTATGTATTTTTACTTCATGTCATGTGAGTAGCAGGAAATAGGTTATGAACACACTAAATATGAACTCTCATATCAGTTGGAATGTTATAGTGGCCAATGAAATATTTTGAAATAAAATAATGATGAAAGTTAGTGATGATACATTTTGTCAATTATAATTGACGAGAAGAATAACAAAATCAATCAGACTGTTTTTTACTTAGGCATTACAAATATAATCAAAACAGAGTAGATTATCGTAAAGATATTACAGTGTTAAGTCTATAAAACTAATAAGTTAAAGTTTTACGAATCCCGCGGGCGGGATCGTGGATGCGCACTGCTCAGTCCCATACTAGAACGAAACAGCTATCCAGTGCTTCCAGGTTTTCCATGGTGGTTCATGAATTCAACTATTAAAGTTTTTCGTTTAAAATTTCATTTCAACTATATTTAAAAGAACATCCAACTTAATAAAATCACTTATTAATGTGTTACTCAGATGTACCTGGAAATCTTGCTACTTTCTTTGATTTCATTCGATCTATATTTAGATGTCCCCATTTTAAACACCCAACTATGTACATTAGTTTCGTGTGATGAAGCTGAATATAAATAAATATAAAAATATATGATATAATATGTAGAGAAGATACTAAGATTGATGGTTTTCAAACATTTTACTCAGGTGACAAACGGTTGGTAAGAAAGAATATAATATTAGTTGGTAGTTAATGGTAGATTTACTCAGATGGAGAAATAAACGGTAATGTCAGAATACTATCTCAAAGTTTCTCACCTTGAATGTGGTAATGGTTTGAAATGACATGGATTGCTGTCCATACCTTTTAAGTTAGTGTATTTCCTGAAAATGGTGAGAATAATGGATACACATTGAGATATTTATGCCTGGAGATTGTTTGGCATTATAAATGAAATAATATGTTGAATTAGATGTAGATAAAAAAAAGAAGTAAAATCTTTTTTAAACAGCCTAACCACCATGTTTTTTAATTCCCTTCTGTTATCAGTGACTAGTAGAAGTATTTTATTCAATTTTGTACATTTTTCTACATCCTGCTTAATTGGAATCAAAAATATTTTAAAATGTTTGAGTTCTAAAATAACTTGTTCTTAAATCAAATTGTTTCATCGCTTTATTTGTTATCAGTAACTACTAACTATAACAAGCGTTAAACGCTTAAAATTGAGAAGCATATCTAAGTATTTTAAGCAGATATAGATGGTGGCTGGCAATGGAATTCACATGATTTCAGGCTTGTCAGATGGATTTACCTGCAATGCAGAGTTGATATTCACTTCAAGACTCCGACTTAATACTGTTCGGTTTAAATACCATCGCCTTACCCACTTAGACACTGGTTTGTGCCATTTGGTATATTTTAATTCCTTTATATATTGGTTGTTTTTACCTTCTAATTGATGCTTAGAAATGCAGTTGATCGGTTTCCGGGATATAGGTACACTCAGCTGATGAGGATCAAATAGGACGAAAAGCTTATATTGGATTCCACTGCTAACCACTATCCATCCATACATCGAAAGCTTGTGACTTCACACCAATATTGCGACAAACCACAAAGGATGTACATATGCTAAAAGAGACTAATCAATTACTGTCCTAGACATTAAGGAAAAGATTCAAACAACAAATATAAATATAAACAACAAATACATATCCGAGTATATATACACACATTCATTCACTGCTATTCATTCCTTCATATTCAGTACAGCTTAATCAATAGAACTTCTTCGATATCAACTGACAGACTAATAATTTGGCGAATCATGTTTTTTACACATAGTTTAGGCAGTTACTTTTATTTATGTTACATTTTCGGATCTGGTTGCTCGGGTTTTAATTAAAGCACTCAACTCAAAGAAGAC